GAATTACAGTAGATGGGGTAGAGAGAGAAGATGGGAGGGGAGGGGATGGGGGATAGTAGAGGATAGGAAAGGCAGCAGAATACAACAGACACTAGTATAGCAATATGTAAAATAGTGGATGTGTAACCGATGTGATGCTGCAATCTGTATACGGGGTAAAAATGGGAGTTCATAACCCACTTAAATCAAAGAACTATGTCAAGAACTATGTAATGTTTTGAACAACCAACAATAAAAATTTAAAAAAAAAAAAAAGAATTATTGCTCAACAGTTACAGAGTTTCTGGGACACAGTCTGTTGTACTAAAATGTGAGCATACTTAATACTACTGAATTGCACACATGTTTTCTTATGGTACATTTTATGTGTATGTGCTTTGAAGACAAATTAAAAGGAAAAAATGTATAATATAACTAATATCAAAATCAGTTTCTCATTGTTAAAATTTTCAAAAATTTCCTTCAGCAACCTTGGCTGGGTTTCAGTATCCTGCTTACCCCCCTTCCCTTCCTCTCCAGGCCTTTGCTTTTGTTAGAAGGGAACAAGTCACTGTTATTGATTAGAATTAGTCTTCCTGTCAATTGTTTTCCTAATGTGCAGGTCCGGTTGGGCTTTATGTGGGGCTCAGTGATCCCAGCTGAGTGAGGAACCCCGCTGGGGCACACTCTGTGCTTTGCTGCCCTGAGCTCTCTATGTGCAAAGCACCTTCCTTGCAGACCATTCCACACCTGAAACTCAGTCTACCTGTTCTTGGGACACTAATATTTGGGACTATCTTTAAAACCATTAAACATACACTAAATGATGAATTAATTGGAGCTGTGGCTATTTGAAGGATATAAGGACTTCATAGACTGAGAACTCACTCAACAAGAAAAGGAAGAAGTGTAGCTTGCCCGTACCCAGCAGCTAAAAGGAAAAATCCATAGAAAATTCTTCAAGCAAACTGACACACAAAAAAGGCACAAACCTGCTCTCAGCTCATTGTATTGAGGAAGAATCTGCTTTCTCAGTATCCAATCCATTTCCCAGAAACCAAGAGTTTGCCCTACTTTCACTTTCAATCCTACATGGGTGCAAGATAAAAATTGTTCAATTTGGGCTGAATTGACACCAAATCCTTTACTCATGTAAAAAAAAAAAAAATTGGAGGAAGGCATGGGACGTTTTGTTTATTGGAGGATGGACTGTTAGGAGATTTCAAGCTTAGGGAGAGACATACACTAACATAAAGTTTTAGTTCAATTTGGGAAAAATATGGCCAAAGAGGAACAGAGTTTGAACTTCTTTTTAAAACACTGACTCAGCATTCAAAGAAACTCCAAACTGACCAGCTGTTAGAGATTATGAGCTTTTAATTCAGGTAGTCAGAAAGAAAATGAAAAGCTAAAATTTAAATATGGAGATTGAAATAGAGGTTATCACACACTTCTCCAAGTATAGGCCCATTTGTGGCAGCCTCAAATATAAAGAAAAAAAAAAAAGAAAAAAAACCTTGCCAAGATCAATGTTGAAAAAGCTTCAGATACAAAAATGTGGTGGTTAAACAGACTTCAAGGCCAAGAAGAATGTAGGTGTGTTACAGCAACTGAAAGACCCGGACGAATCTTAATTTCTAAAACAAGTCAAATACAACTTACTCATAGATATTCAAAAAGATCATGGCAAAGAGAGAAAAGAGAAGATAGTTTCTATCTCTTATTTGCCAAATTTCAGGCATGGGTTCTGGGCAGGGAACAATATGGTAAGATCAACAGAGAACCTTATATATAACTCCCTTCTTTTTTCTTGTTTCTCCCTTTCTTATGGAAGCAATGAGGAAGGAATGGAAGTACACAGAGTTTAAAGTTAAACAGAGTTTGCAGGAATTTGGGCAGGACTGTATTTACTCTCTGTCAGTTTTGTATTGCTATAGAAATAAAAAATTACATGAGGCTGAGTATTTTATACTGAAAAGAGATCAATTTAGCTCAGAATTTTATTTTATTTCCATTGCAAAATAGAGACATTATCATTTATTCTGCATGATTGTAGTCAGGATGAATTTGAAACATAACATATGGAGTGCCTAGAAAATAGTCTATAAATTTAAAAACATTATTTTTATCACTACTCAGCAAACAGAGGAACAGTGTAGTGTAGTAGCTCAAGAAGAAAGTTGGAGAACAAAACTGCTTGGATTCAGATTACTTACCAGGCTATATTAGCTGGGACAGCTGATAAAGTCTATGCATGCCTCAGTTTCTATAAAATCATAAGGAAAGATTTATTATGAGGTTTAAGATGTACACTCCATGTGAAGCAGTCAGAATTGGGTCTGAAACACCTGTAGAGCGCAGGGAGCCCCCTTCTGACTGTTAAGAGGACAAATACCAGACCATTAAAACAACTACTGGGTGTTTGAGAGTATATAAACCATGCACCTTCTCTCACATACTGAAGCTCCAGAAGAGTAAACCAGCTCCACTGTGAGTGAGTCTCTTATTTGGGGAAATTAGACTTTAAAAATAAATGATGCTTCTGTTAGACCACAACGCAAGAAAAGACCACTGACTCCAATTAAAATCAAATTAAAGCAAGCTTATTATTTCGACCGGCCGGGCTGCCTTGCCCCTCAAAATTGTGGGAGCCAAGGACAACCCTGAGGCTTCTTTGTGGCCCAGTTTTATAGGCCAAAAAGTTACACAAAAGGGGGGTTACAGATAACAACGCTCTGAGGAGCATAACACAAGTTTACATTTTTGCTGGCCCCGGTATCAGAATTTATGGAGATCTTAGAGACTCAGAGAGGGTCCTTATCCGGCCAGGGAAGGCCAGAATTTATGAGGCGTCACTAAGGTTTAGGAAAGGGTTGTTATATGGTCAGGGAAAACCGGACCTGGGTGAGTTCAGGCACGGGCAGGCATTCCAATCAGCTTTACAACATCAACTAATGGCCAGGCCATACAGACATCCTGAAATTTTTACAGAAAACAGAAATGAATCTTCCATAACTTGTGACAAGCTGGCTTCTGATCTAATGAGATAACTAGGCTAGGTATATCAACTTCCTCATTCTAGGATGCTTAAACAGACTCCCAATCTTGGGAAACATTTTACTATATTCTACATCTAATAGACTTTTTTTTTTTTTAATAGCAAATGGTTTCTGTGATCTCTTCCAACAAAATGTTTGAAAGTTCCAGTTGAGAAATCCTGTCACACCCATCGACCAACAGAACGCTGAAAATCCCTTTTAGGGTTGTTGATTCATTTCCTTAGACTGAGTACTTTCAGTTTCACATTACTGTAAATTCATGATAAAGGTTGTTGTTCTCTTCAGTGTTTGATCACTCAGGGAAATCCAGAAAGGCTCACGACGCTGGAGGACGAAATAAAAGCTCAGCAATCCAGCAAAAAACAGAGAAGTCAGAGAAGCCAGTCCACCCACACTGAGCAGGAAGAGCAGGTAAGAAGGCTTCCTTCCCTTCTCAGCCTGTCTCTGCAGCTCTGAGGCAGCTCTGCTCAGGGACAGGAATCTATGAGGCTGGGGCAGGGATGGGAAGGGATTTATAAAAGTCAGTTTTCTTAAAAGCAGCCTGTGATGGGACTGATGAAACCTGATGCTTCAACCTGACTGAGGGCATTATGCCCCTAAGTGCCACTAGTGGGCTTGTATTGCATTAGGCATCTTCAAATGGGAGCTGAACTGAGGGTTTGAAATGCACGGGGACCGCCTTCTCACTATGGACATTGCCATATTGACCAGAGACACAATTAAATTATCACCATCATTAGGGAGCCTGCTCAGTCCTGCTGCTGCTGCTGCTGCTGCTGCGAAATTGAAAGGGCTGCCTATGGGTTCTTTTCATGAGAAAGAAAGAAAAACAATGAGGGGCTGGTTAGAAGAAAAAAAAAAAAAGCCACAATAACTTACTTTCTTTCTTTTTAAATTTTTAAAAAAATTTTTAGTTAAGGAATAGTTTTATTGGTGAGACTTAAAAGACCAGAGCACAATGCATGAATGTCTTGATCTTCTCATCTTTTCACGATGTGTCGTCTCAGGGTCAAAGAGAGGGACACTGCCTATTTCCCACTTTTGTTTGTTAGAAGCCAATGTGAGAACAAACTCATCGGAGTGGTAACAGAATGTTATGGTCCCAGGGGATCAGGGTTTCTTGGGAAAACCTAGCTGCCTTGCCCTTGGAGGATTTAGAAATATCCTTATATTCATAAAATTCTTAAAATTAAGCTATCCTTTCATTCCCCAGATGACCTTAGTTTTTTCTCAGCAAATGAATGAATGGTTGAGGGGTTTTATTCCCATAAAATCAGATATGCTCATTTGAATTTAATTGAGATTTGCTGTTGTGGAGAGAGGGTTGTATGTAGGTATGTGTATTCTTGCGTGCACATGAAGCAGCATGCTGTCTAATCATCCATCTGAACTTGGCTTCAAGGTGGATTTCCTCCTTCAGATGTACAGCAGACTAATTTCCTGGTGTCCATCACTCCTTAGCCCTCATCAGCAGAATCCAGCCTCTACATTTGGAAGCCTCTTTCCCAGTCCAGCCTTCCCAGGCCTTCAGGCAAATTTTCCTGCTTTCTGGAAACTGTGACCTTTGAAGTCCTGGACAGGCACCAGCCTCAATCACCACCTTATAGCCATCCTCTCCTTTATCAGCTCCTTATCTTCCACCTTCTCCTCCTCCCATTTTTCTTTCCTCTCTCTACCAAATGGAAAAACAGAACAAAATAGAAACACTAAAAGTGTGTGACTGGAAATACAGATTTTTTTTTTCTTTAACAACTTCACGTCCAGCTCTCTTGATCTGCTTCGTAATTTCTTGATCCCTATTTCTGCCGTTTCTTTCTTTTTTTTTTTTAATCTTTTTGTTTTGTTTTGTTTTGTGTGGAGAGGTGGGAGCGGGTGGTTGCCAGGGATTGAACCCAGGGGCACTCAACCACTGAGCCACATACCCAGCTTTGTACTTCTTTTAGAGCAGGCTCTCACTCAGTTGCTTAGGGCCTTACTAAGTTGCTGAGGCTGGCTTTGAACTCGTGATTCTCCTGCCTTAACCTCCCTAACCACTGGGATTATAGGTGTGCTCCACTGCTCCTGGCCAGATAAGTATTTGAGAATATTTGAATATGTGTTAAACTACTTTTAAAAATGTGTTTTCAGGGCTGGGGATATAGCTCAGTTGGTAGAGTGCTTGCCTCACATGCACAGGGCCCTGGATTCAATACCCAGCAACATACACACACACACACACACACACACACACACACACACAAATTGCATTTGCAGATCATGATCAAATATTGGCATGATTTTTTCCAATTTCACATTTTTTGAGTGGGATGGATTTTAGTAGTAATATATGGTAATTGTGTGTAAATTTGTACACAATTGTGTAACTAAGTAAAAACTATGTATAAATTTCATATGCTTTGTCTTTTTAATAGTATTGTAATATATTTCTAGTGTCAGTGTTTATGGAGAAGTAAATAGTATATTGTTGCAAATGCTTTACCATTTGCATGCCATAAATCAGTGTAAAACTTAGTAAGACTCTGTCTCAAAATAATTTTAAAAAGAAGCTGGGGATGTACTCAGCATGTTGAGACCCTGAGTTCAATCCATAGGACTACAATTTTTTTTTTCCTATTTTTCCTAGCAAAATCAAAGTGTTATGGTTTGGATCCGGAATAGTCATCAAAAGTTCATGTGTTAGGCAATGCAGCAATGTTCAGAGGTGAGAAGATTGGCTCATGATGGCTCTGAACTCATCCGAGTATTAATCCACTATGGATTAATAATATGAATGGACTACTGGGAAGTGGTGTAAACTGTGGGCAGATTGGGCATGGCTGGAGGAAGAAGGCCTCTGGGAGTGTGGCCTTGAAGTGTATATCTGTCCCTGGGTGTGCTCTCTCTCTCCTTCCTGAGATGAGCAGCTTACTTCTACCACACCCTTCCATGATGGTGTTCTACCTCATCTCTCAGGATCAGAGCAATGAAGCTGACTGATTATGAACCAAAATAAACCTGTCCTTCTCTAGGCTGTGATTGTTCACTCATATCCTCACTAAGTTTAAGCTAATTTACTGTGAAACTCATAAAACTTAAGCTTCAGAGCACTGCTCTGCAAAAGTAGGTTATGTTGATTTCACTTCTAGAATATGAGTTCAGGATCCTCATTCTAGTAAAATAAACATAAGTGCTTGAGGTGTGAGAAAGAAACGCATTTAAAAACATCTGGGAACCATCTAAGGGCATACGTCAAACAAAGAACACTTATCCATGAAGGTCTTCATTTGTTTTAAGATTAATGAATGAATAAGTCAATATTTAATTTCTTAAATCTAGTGGGGTTATCTTATTCTTTCATTTAATATCTAATGTAAACTTTTAAATAAGAATCCAAGGAAAATTTTCCGTGATAAATTAAATTGAAGATTTGGGTTGTGTGAGCAGTTAAATGTTGATGAGTCACTGTTACATCAACATTTTTTAAATGAACCACTTTGATAATTTTTTCATGACTTCTAAAATTATACACTGTACTATACACTGTACTAGTTAATTTGCATTGTCAACTTGATTGGATGGAGAGATGTCAAAGGTTAAAAGGCTTCTGGGTACGTTAACCAAAGTGTGTCAAAGAATTATTGGCATGTGAGATAGCAAACTGAGGTGGAGACCCTCCCTAAGAGCCGGCAGCACCATCCAATAGGATGGTAGCTTGAATGGAATAAAAATTTGAAGAGGAAGCAGCAGCAGATGCAAGCCTATTCTTCTTGAAGGGGTTTTTTGATTGCTTTTGCAATCACCTGAGGATCTTTACTCTTCCGAAGTGGATTTTGACAGCAATTCTCCAGGGAGTTTCCAGAAACCTTTGGTCTCTGACTAGGGCAGCAAAATTGATCCTTCTTGTTCTGAAGCTTCAGCCTCTTGGACTGCACAGCTACTGGTTCTCCCAGGTCTCCAGCCTGCAGATGGCCATTGTTGCCTATCTAGCTTCTGGTTGTAAAAGCCCATTTAATAAATCCCCTATTTATAATCATACTTCCTGTTCATTCTGTTCCTAGAGAACCCTGACTAATACATACAGGTTTTCCCTCATCTACGTTGCTGATGCACATCACACTTTAGCTTATACTGGGGAATTTGTATCTGCTTTCTGAAAGCAAAAGTCCAGAAATCGTAAAATATCCCACCTCTTCTCTTGCAGACACTCCAAAACATGGCCTCAGAGACCTACATGCCAGGTCCCATATGCCTCATTGAGAATGTTAAAGGCCAACTGATGATCAACCAGGAAGCCCTGAAGATCCTGTCAGCTATCACAGACCCTGTGGTGGTGGTGGCCATCGTGGGCCTCTACCGTACAGGCAAATCCTACTTGATGAACAAGCTGGCCGGGAAGCAAAAGGGTGAGTGCCACCAGCAAAGCTCTGCTGAGCCCTGTGTCCATCACACTGTGGGCATCCAGCATGGGGATGGAGAGGAGGAAGTTAGAGTCATAGAGGGACAGTGAAGCTAAACTTCCTCTCACAGTTGGGCTTTTGGTCTTCAAGGTTCATCCATGTGGTAAAATGTCTCAAATTTCCTTCCTGTTTAAGGTGCAGTAATTGTTTAGGCATGTCAATGTGTTTATCCAATCTTCTGCAGATGAACACTTGGACTGCTTCCACCTTTTCACCTTTAAAAATAATGCTGGTATGAAGATGGATGCAAAACTATCTGTATAGTCTATGCTTTCATTTCTTCTGGGTATATGCCCAGAAGTAGAATTGCTGACTCATATGGCAATTCTGTCTAATTTCTTTGAGAATCACTGTACCAATTTCCATACTGCCTGCATCATCTTAAGTTCCCATCAGAAATTCATGAATGTTATAATTTTTCTACATCCTTGCCAACATTTATGATATGCTGTTTTGCTGTTGTTATTTGATAGAGGACATTTTAATGGGTATGAAGCAGTATCTTGTGGTTTCAATTTACAGTTCCCTAAATGACTAGGGATGTTGGGCATCTTTTCATTCACTATTGGCCATTTGTATATCCACTTTGTAGAAATATCTGCTGAAATCCTTGTTCATTTTTTAATCTGGTTGTTTGTGTTGCATTGTAAGGATTCTTTCTATATTCTGGATATCAACCCCTGACCAGATATACATCTAACACATCTAACAAGTATTTTCCTCAGTTCCACATGTTGCCTCCTCCGTTGATAGTGTACTTAGATACTCAAAAGTTTTTCATTTTGATTACGTCCCACTCATTTTTTTCTTTTGTGGTCTTTATGCTTGGTGTCATATCCAAGAAATCACTGCCCAATTCAATGAAATGAAGTTTTTCCCCTAGGTTTTCTTTTATGGTTTTATAACTTGAACTCTAATGTTTAGATCTTTCATCTATTTTGAGTTAATTTTTGTGGGGATTGTAGGAACAGCGGAAAAGCTCCGTAAACTCAATAAACAGAAACAACCGTTTACCTGTCCAAGATTTTATTAGCGGGACTGTAACAGCCAGTCGCAGAAGAGAAGGGGGGAGAG